GCGATTAATAACAAGCCACGCAAATCTCCCAAAATTGTTTTGGGGTCATTCATTGATTGCAGTGTGCAACACACTAAATCATGTCCCATCAAAATTGGTTAACAGAACTCCATACAAGTTATGGAAATGCAATAGTCCCAATTTATCTTATATGAAAGCTTGAGGCCATGACGCTTATTTGAAGCGCCTTGAATCGGATAAATTTGACACTAAATCTGATAAATACGTATTTGTGGGGATATTTAAAGCAAACATTTGAATATAAATTCTATTATCATGAAAAAAGTCTTCGTCTCACGACATATCGTTTTCTTAGAGAAAAAGTTTACTATAGGAGAGGACAGTGAGAGCAAAATAGAATTTGAAAGAGTTCAAGAGTCCACAGACATAGTTAACCAAGTAGATAAATCCTAGTTTGATCCCATATCTGATATGGGGCATACTCTTGATTAGGAAGTAAAGACTCATGAGGACATGTCAACTCTATGTGAATCTAGTAGGATCATTCGACCTTCAAGAAGGTGAGAATCCATGATTACTAATCAGGTATTACTGATCCAGGATAACAACCTGCTAGTTGCACCAAAATAAAGTCTAGTATTGACTTAAAAGAGACAGCAAGAGGTCATGAAACTTGAGATGAACTCGACGTATGTGAACAAGGTTTGGACCTTGGTCAAGCCTCTTGATGGAATAAAACCCATAAGTTTTTGTAAATAGTTTATAAGGAAAAGGTCGATATGGATGAGAGTATCCATATATACAAAGCAAGGCTAGAAGCAAATGTTAAGTGTTAACCTTGGTGAAACCTTTCTCGTGTAGCCCTACTTAAGTCCATTCAGGTTTTGCTTGCAACAGTTGCATACCGTGACTATAGGTTAAGAGAAGTCTCTTGGAGCTAAAATCTTCAATTTGATGAAAAAGTCAAAGTGTTTGATTTTATCAAATTTGAATACGAATTGTGTGTTTACAAGAAGATAGTGGGACCATTGTCGTATTCCTAATATTATAGAAAATGACATCCCTATTTTTAATTGTTGAAATAATGGTTGTTAAAGGATTTATTCATGAACGATATGGGAGAAACAACTTGATCTATAGAGATAGATCTAAAAAATTGCCTAACTTATCCCAATTTACATAGATGATATTTTGAGAAGATTTCATATGGAGAAACTAATTTACTCTTAAGCGGAATGTTGGAAAGGTTCCAAACGTAAAGCAACCGTTGATTTAATAGTAGAAAACTAATATATGATTATTTCAAAAGTAGCAAAGAGTTGCAATGTAGATCGTGATGTTCATAAATTAACTTGGAGTAGTTTCTGATATTGTTGATCACATGCCATTGTATCGTGATAACAATAGACCCATCGCGAAAGCATAGGAGCTAAGTTCTCATCAATGATCCAAACATGTATTAAGGCGGTATAATCTCATTAGAGAGATAATACATAAAAATAACGTAAAGAGAGGAACAAATTCCCACATTTAACAATATTGTAGATCCACTGACAAAGAGTTGTCGTAATATAAATATGATCGTCATGTAGACTCTTATGATATTGGATATATAAGTGATTGGATCTAGTGCAAGTGGGAGTTTGTAAATATTATACTCTAGGTCCAATCAACTTTGGACATAAGTACTTTTGATATATAATTAATGTAATTTAATGACATATCTATTATTTAATTAATAGACAATTAAATAAATAATAGAGTCTGTAGATTCAAATCTTCGTAATTTGTTAATCACAAGGAGTTGTGATTATGAGATACAAATTACATATGATTGAATCTTAAATCGTCTGTGGTCGTAAGTAATAACAAGATGCGGATATCGTTATTATGGATAGACCATCACCTGTGGCATTTCTTACTTGTGAAGTAAGTAGCTGATCTCACAAGCTAAAGTGTGGTAACATTTAAATGAACACGTGAATGTTTTGTTATAGAACAAAACATTGGAGACCCAACGAAAGATTCCACATGGATAATTATTTGAGTGTCAGTGATTAATCTCTAATGTTCGGTAGTGTGATTGGTCATTTGACTTGAGGTCGTCATAGTATCTTATATGAGGACAGTCATGCTTTAACGGTGTTGGATGTTGCTCTGCCAAGGGCCGCTAATACGGCATCATTCGGATATGTCATGAATCATATGAAGGTTGTGAATGATGAATAGATGATTCGTCACTCTTAAATAGTAGGAGATTATGATCTGCATTTTATTCAATTAAGTCGATAACGAAGTCCTTGGCCAAGGTGTACTCATAAGTCAAAAAATGATTTTTCGACTTATATTGACTTAATTGTGGAATGAAAGATATGATCGATATTCGAGATTGACACACTTTCATATCTTGTAATTGATCGGATCATATTGACGAAGGGGTTATAATTTCACGGTAAACAAACGAGTTTGGTTTTGTCATACCACATGACATTCCCCGTCACATGTATTGCCTTGACACATTGCTAGATGTCAATCTAGGACGACGAGTGTGAATTGGTGATAAATTAAAATGGTGTTTTAATTTATCAATTTTGATTAGATCAAAATAATATTTTACGTTGTTAGGCATCGTGATCGGAAACCTGATGGGTCGCACACAAAAGAAAATTAGAAGATTGCAATTTGTCAATTAATTAATTTAACAATGGTTGGAGAAATTAATTAATTGGGTTGGTTATTTATAGGCTCGAATTAATTAATTTGATTAATTAATTCACAGACCAAATTTAATTAAATGTATTAATTAAATATTAGATCGAACCGAGTCAAGCCCGTTTGGGCTTATACAAATACATGGCCAGAGTTTTCAATCCATATAGTTTTCTCATAATTTATTGCTAGCACAAAAGGAGAAAATCCTGGTAACTACAATCTGTTCTCTGTGTGGATCACCATTTGAGGCTGGACAATTGGACAGCTATGGATGGCGAATCAAGATTGCTGGAACGAAAATTTGCAGACCTAGAAAAGGTACAAATTTTTCACTATTTCTTTCTAAACATAAAAAGATTTCTGGTGGGAATCGAAATCTGTTTTAATTTTTCGCTGTGCATGTTAAGTAGATTCCCAACAGTAGGAATGAAATGGAGTGGAGTAAATATTATCAACACCTACAGAAATCCCAACTTTCTCTCCAATTTTCTCTGAATAAGTGTAAGCAAACCCAAGAATTCGTCTTTCCTAATTTTAATAACATGTTGCGATGTTGGTGTTTTTCAACTGCTTTAATTATTATTATTATTATTATTATTGTTATTATTATTTTCTTGTGGATAAATCTTTAATAATTTACTTCCAGCAAATACATTATGAGGTAGTGGTGCCTCTACGTCGAAAGCATAAGCGGCATAAAAAAGAGGGGATTCTTAATTTATCCTAATTAATTCTCAACTCATGAAACTACCAGACTAAGAAACAAATAATAATAATAATAATAATAATAATAATAATAATAATGGAATAACACCATCTAGTATAAATACATTTACTGTGGGGACAAGAAAATTATCTTTGTCACCGTGGAAGAAAGTAAGAGTCACCATCAATGGAAAAGCTATGGTCAATTGGATGTTGAAAAATAAAAGGAGGAAAAAAATTAAGATTTTTATTTGTAGTGGAACAATAATTTATTTTTGGCTAATTATGTATTAAACTCTAATTATGTAATTTTACATAAGGCTATTTAAGTAAATAAGAAAAATACTAAAAAATTGTAGTGATAATATAATTACCCATATAATATAATATATTATTATTATTATTATTATTATTATTATTATTATTATTATTATTATTATTATTATTATAACAAGTGAAAACACCGAATTTCTTCCTACATAAGAGGGTATTATTAATATTACCTTTGAGGAGGATGAACCTAATCATTTCGAAATAAACAATATATTCATAATATTATCCAATCTGTTACCTGTCCCGTTTACTTTTTTCTTCTAACCCTAAAATAACGGGGTGGGACACCAATTCTTGTTTAATTTCTACTTAATTTTAAAAGGCTTTGGAATCTCCATAAAATGATGTCTGGTCTCTTTGTTTTCAAATTTGGAATATATTTCAATGGTCTGATCATAGACTTAACCATTTATTAATCTGTTATGCTGCGTATAATTAAAATATGCCAATTATTTTTTTATTTTTTTTATTTTGTGACATATTTTAGCAATAATATACATGCTGTTTCTGCTATGGTATATGGTCAATGTTGAGCAAAACTTTCGGCTTAACCAGCTGGCATCCCTTAAACTAAGGGGCTCAATCGAAAATATTGATGCAAACTCTCTTATTACTACATTTAATGGCGTTCGATGGAGCCACAAGTTTTATCATCTCTTCCTTTTGAGTTGCTTTCTTTTTTTCCCATTCTGTCTCAGTAATTTAATGAACCATCTTAATATAATTGAATAGGCATATGAAGTTGGATAAGGAAATATGTGATCTTAGACCGATATACCATACCTATTCATCTAAGATTGTGGGGAATATGTGGAGGAAGCTTTTGAATACTTTCATGGAGACTGTAAGAAGATATGAACTTTCCAAATGACAAATTTACACAATCTTATTTAAGTATCAACTACATGAGCGACCATGAGTTGAGAAAATATTATACCATGTAAAATGATGGGATTTGACTGGTTTTGAACTATAGTCACATTGTATTTCATGTTAATACAACACTGGATAATTTTAAGATGATGAAAAGATAAATTATCATTTAATCTTATGTAATACAATGTACCAAACGTATCATAAAAATGATGTTCTTATATGTGCAAGTCATGGTTTCATTCAGTCTTGCTAACAAGCATGATTTGATTAAGTCAACCGTCTTTTTCTTCAAAAACACAATTTACCTTTAAGTTAAACCCTTGATTTAAGTAAATTAGCAAACCATGATCTCTTATCGAAATTATTAATAACTTGTTTGGTTAAGGTAGACTCTGAACCGAAAAACCGAAACCAGGTCTGGTCCGAGTCAAGCAGTTTTAAAGGTGGACAAACTACCCGTTGGAAACCCAGCGAACCGACGGGTTTGTAGCCCAACCGTCGACCCGTTTGCAATTGAACCAACCGGGTTATTTCTTTTACTTTAAAACCCTGTTTTCCAAATCCCCAATTCACGTTAACCAGGAAAGTTGTATTCTTCATTCCAAAATCCGACTGCTTCGCTACCGTCTGCAGCTTAAGTCTTAAGAGATGGAAGAAAAAGAGGTTAGTATGAAGCCAGTGAAAATAGATTTTGATTGATTAGTTGAAAATATGCACGTGGTGAATTTCAAAATTTTTAGAACAATATATAGTTGTTTTGTGCAATTTAATATTCTTACAAAGCATAATTGCATAAAAATAATCCTGTGGTGAATCTTGTTTTTAGAACAAGATAATATAGTTGGTTTTCAGAATTGCAGTGGACTGCTTCGGATTCTATGCTTTTAGGATTTGGAATTAAATTTACATAATAATTTGCTATTCTTTATATTCCCTTGAGTTGGTGTTTACAAGAATTGGACAGATTTTTATCTTCCTATTAATGTACATTCATTGTCCATTCCATGTATTTCTTGAATCACGAAACCTGTTGAAGACAAATTCAAGGTTAGTCTTTCAGTTTATATCAATTTTGATTGGTGAAAGGTTTAAAATCTATTCAGTTTGAGGTGCTAATTATTTGATTGGTGATTTTGTAGAACCATTTTTTGCTTTGCTGTGGATTTTGCTAAAATATTGGTAGCCTCAAGAGTACCTGTTAGAAACGAAAACACTTATTACCAGCACTTGTTAGAGACTAAAATATTGCTGATGTTTGTTGTCAAGATGCTTAGAGCTGGTTCCCTGTTAGAGATATTGACACATAATTTGAGATGCAATGGATGGTCTAACTTACTCAATGCCTTAACTCCCTTAAAAAGAATAACGAAATCATTTCCTATATAAATAAGTCACTGGTCAAGTCACATGTGTCTCTGATATTAATTTGCAGACACTCTAAGATAATTATTTGCAAATGTAAGCTTTGTTATAACAAGCAGGTAGTTAGTGTCATGGAAGGTAAAGTTAATATTTATACCAAATGCATGTAAGATTGTTCTGCATGATTCCATCAATGATCATTATCACTCTAAAAAAATGATAAAAATGATGGTAATTGTTTCACTGACGTTATTGTTTCTTCTTTTTATTAAAGTATATATGATGTAACGTTGAAATTTAAAACTATTTTCAGATGAATTACATTTTGATGATCTTGATTGTGATGGAAATGATACAAACGATGGAAATGAGGATTTTAGTATGACCGAGACTCCGTCATTGGTACAAGGCGAAGGAATTGAAGAATTTATGTCCGAAACTCCAGCATGGATACGCTCTAACTCTTCTTAATTGAGAAAATTTTAACTTACTTCAAATAATTTACTTTGTTATCATGTTCTTTAGCCACGTTTAACTTTTAGTTCATGGTTTTATTTTTGCAAAAGTACTCTTAAAGTATATGAAGCTACCTTGTTGAACCTTGCATATGAAGTAGTTTTTTTTTTAGTCTTTTTTAATTATTGATTATTGTTTTTATTGTTTCAAGTCCATATTTGATTATGTATGATTCAGAATTTGTGAACTTGGGATACAAATTGATATTTAGTTAACAAAATAATATGAGGTTAATTTAGTTATTCGTCGAAAATGGAAAAAAAAATATTCAATGAAAATAGATAATAATATTTTTTATCGGAATTGACCCGCCGGTTGAACCACCGAGTCACCGGTTGAACCACTGATCCGTTGACCCATTGCATTGTCCGAGTCTACATCCGGGTCGAGTCTGACAACTATGAGTAGGAAGTTCCACTATCAAATCCTCGTCATGTTACCCAGTATAATTAGTTATGTTAATTTATAATTCTTTAATGAGACTTCAACAATTACTCAAATGACCAAATTAGACCCAAGACTACTATATATATCTCCGTTGTCACTCTCTATTCCTCACAAGCACGTTAAATCTCACAACATACACATATATAGTATCAAATGGCAAAATCCTAACTTTCCCAAGTCATTTTCTCTGCCCTTCTCATCTGCTTCCTCCTTATAGCATCCAACGGTAAGAAGTCTTTAGTTCTTTTTTTTTTTTTTTTCAAAATAAATGTCTTTTCCAACTTTCGGTCGAGACTGCTTCTTGTAGAAAAATTTCACGATGAAGCTTCCTTAATTATTGTTTGAAACTAATTTCTAAAAGGGTTCTCTTTCAAAAAACTTTTAGAGGAGGCCATATTGATACACCTACCTCTAAAAGTTCTTTTAAATAGATTTTTTTTTTTCTCTCTCTCTCTCTCTCTCTCTCTCTCTCTCTCTCTCTCTCTCTCTCTCTCTCTCTCTCTCTCTCTCTCTCTCTCTCTCTCTCTCTCTCTCTCTCTCTCTCTCTCTCTCTCTCTCTCTCTCTCTCTCTCTCTCTCTCTCTCTAGATACATCTATGTATATGCAGAGGTGCAGACTGTGGAAGCTAAAGTCTGTTCGAGGCTGAGCAGGACATGGTCGGGGATATGCCTGAATACCGGCAATTGTGATCGGCAGTGCAGGAATTGGGAGAAGGCTCAACATGGAGCTTGCCATAGGAGGGGCTGGGGATTCGCTTGCTTTTGCTACCGTAAATGCTGAGATTATAGTTAAATAACTTGCTTGCCTGATAATATCATGAATAAAAGGTTGCTATTAGGTTTGCAACCATATATGTATTGGAATAACTTGTACCAATGTTGTTTGTGTTTGTTATTACTTCAACTTTTGTATTGCTTCACAATAAAATGAATGTGTTTTCTTTATCTATCTAAATAGGCTGTCAGATTACAATATTTGTGTATCTCTTCTACTGAGAGACCTCTTAATGTTAAAATTGAAAGGCTACTCTTCTTTAACACTATTGACTCTTTAAAATGAAACTTTGAGATCAGAGACTCCATAAACATTTAGTCCTCTTCTGTATACTACTTAACACGTTATGCCAAATGTTCACCCGAGACGGAACCCTATTGCTCAACCCCACATTCGTGTCCACCAAATGCCCAGGTTTTTCACTCAACACCTCATCAGGTGATGCACCATCAAGAAACCAAATCAGGCAAGAAAAAATCCATTTCGTAACCTCTGAATCACTGCCAATTCTAAATCTTATCAGCCTATCATTTTCCATCTTCACCTCCACCAACACCAGCACTTCATAATATACGAATGGGTGTTTGCTTGAATGTACATGAGAATTATTAGAGTCCACCAAATAACCAAAAAAATGAAATATGATGAAAATACTTTAAACTAGCTAAAAATAGAAAAAAGCTAAAACGAAACCCTAAATAACAAAATTTGTACAAAAAGTTATTGACAATGCTGGCTTGTAGAACCAAAAAATGCTTTTGGATTGTACTCGCTCTCGAAATTTTGACAATCGAGCTGAAAGTTACATTGGTTTTGTAGATCCTTCTTATTCCTTATCTTTTTTAATTGGTTTAGGATTTTGTATTCTATCTAGTCCTCAAGGAGAGATGCGTTGTGTAATAATCTTTTGACTCTTTCTATTTTAACCTACTTTATAGTAATTAAAGTCAAAATTATCTAGTCAAGTCAAGAAAATTTTGGTTCAAGTGGTTTCACGGGGACTATTCTAAGCCAGTAGAATTTGTTAAGGGCCAATTTATATAAAACAAATAGGCTATGTATGTAAAAAAATAAAACAATAAATTTAAGGATTTAAATTGAAATTTCAGCAAAGTGAAGGGCCCAAGTAGTAGTTTTAATGTATATTATGTATTTGGTTGATAGAGATTTTTCAAGAATAAATTTTGTAAAATTAAGTTTTTTGAAGAATATATGGTTAAAAAGTAGAGAAAAGTTATTGGTCTACGTGTAAAATTATTTTATTTTGTTTTATTTTTTGATGAGTCAGGTGCTTGAGCTTCACCTGACCAATCCTGAGAAGTGGCGGCTTTCTCACCTAGTTTGCCACCTGGGTAAATTCAAATGCAATCACAGTTTATATACACTTGACCCAGACTTTTGGGATGCAGTTATCTTTCTTGTGAATCTCTCTTTATTAAGTTGGGAGAAAAATGAGTTTTAGAAATGGGGTTAAACAAGGACAGTAAATCATTCTCAAAATGGGAATTGGATCCGAGAGGGTCGAAGGGAGGTAGAAACTGAGCCAAAAGAAAAGGGGAAAAAAAGAAAAGAAGGACGAGGAACTGTCGAGCTATGTGGATTATTATTAAGCTATTGTGGACTTATTGGTTAGATTCTTGATATTTCTTGCAAGCATTTGGCTATAGTTTCACATCTATTAGCTCGTGTTTAAGATTTTCACTATCATGCTGTGAGTATAGGTATGTTTAGGCTATATTCTTTTCTTAATTTCAAGTATTTGAGGTTATTGCAAATGAGAAAAATAAAAAATGAGTTGAATAGGATATTTTTGAATTTAATCCTTGATAAAATGTTTATTATAACCTAATGAGTTGAGTCCATTGAAAAGGAAAATTGGATTCTAAGCATTTGTTTGTACAATGCATGTAGTAATGCGTATAGTTAGTGTATTATTGAGAAAGAAGGCTAAAGGGGGTGAAAATGGAAGTAAAATGGGTCAAATGAATTGGAGACTAAATTAGGCCAGAGAATGAAAAGTTATAGTGTGAAAAGGAATAATGGATTTGGAGAAAAGAGACCAAAAAATTCAAACGATTACTTTTTAATTTGAGAATTCATAATAAAACATTTTTATCCATACAAATCGATGGACTCGTAAGTACTATTTATTTATTTATATTTATTTATAAATACTTTCTAACACATGCGTCAAAGTGTTAAACCGCTCATTTTAAATTTTGGAACACATAGCTTCCGAAAGTTATACATGGAAATATAACAATTTTACAAAACTTTGGAGTTAGCGACTAATTTATGTAAAACTAACATTAAAGGTTGAGGAAAGCCGACGAAAATGGATTCAAGAAATTCTTTGAAGTATGAACCAAGCAACATGTGAGCAAAATCTGCATGGTGAATCACCAAAACTTCTGTTATATTATTCATATCTATACAATCCATATGGGAATCCACATAAGATGTAATCTTTCTTGTTCCTTTCCTGAGTGCCTTGTCCTGATTTTTTATTTTGAAAATTGGAACACATTTTATTTTTCTGACCATTGACTTCATGTATATTTGAAATGGCAATTCAATCTTCTGCTTCTGATATGATTCCCTAATAAATAGAATATGCTCTAAGATTAGCATAACTTTCGGCTAAATCAGCGGGCCGGGCACGAACCTTGTTGAATTTCTTCAAGTTTAACCTTCAAAATATATTTTGCAAAGAAAGTGTTTAGAGTCATCCTATAAAATAAATAATTAAAATATAAGATTTTGTGCTATTCATCTTAACAACTAAGCAATAACAAACAATTCGCTTAGATTAAGACTCAAATAAGTGCACAAAATACAAGATTGGTCTATTTAAATAAGCCACCATTTTATCATATCATGTTATCTATTGAATAAACATAAAATAATTAATCAATACACGAGGACTTATCATACTTCCTTTAATAAGGTTAACCTTTTAAAATGGAACCCTAACCCCCAATACATAAATTCAGTTTCCAATTTTGAACGTTATTGAATGATTGTCCCCTTTTTTCTAATGCAGTAGAGTTTTTATCCGGTTGGTGATTTGTTTCTTCATTATTCCAAGACTGTCTTCAAGTTTTTTCAACAATAATCAACAAAATATACTTTTTAGGAAAGACAAGTTACTTGGCCCTTATTAGGTTCGGGGGAAACTTTTTGACATTCACGAAAGAATGATGCTTCATCGTTAATTATCATCACCCATCTAGATGCACACTAATAATGAATCACATTTTAATTTAACAAACATGAAACTTGAAAGTCTCTTGAGCCAAAATGTTTTTACATCAACGTAAATATTTAATCTGGACTTTTGTCAAAATTTATTTATTAAGCATTCCAATGAATTGATTTTTTTAATTTTTTTGGGTAAAATCTCTTGATAAATTAACCCTATATTACACATTTGAGATGTTATTAGTCAGTAACACGACCTCGGATGTTACTATATTTTTTTCCCCAAGAAATCCGAGCATATCTATTATATGTATTTTTTTAGCACCCTTTACATGAAACGTGACACCTTGAATAAAATGAAGAGTCCCACAAAAAACGCGAGGCTCTTGAAATCTTAAATAAGATCGTGATTGAGACTTGATCCTTCCACTCCAATCAAAATATTGCGATATGAACAAGCAAAATTGCTTTTTGTCGGGTTGAGTATGACTTAGTGTGGTGCATAGCCATAATTTATGATATTTTAATTTGACAATTAAATAATTAGCACTGTATTTTGGCATTGAAGTTTACTTGAAGATCTAATAATTTGACCTATTGCGTGGTTTTATATCTTATTATTTTTGAAGTTGACGAGATTCATTCTACTATTATTGGAGCTTAACGTTTGCTTCCATCTCAATGTTACT